TTAGCAGTAGTGGTGGTGGTGGTATCACTAGTATTATTGTTAGCCTTATTGCACAGATGGGTCATACCCATGTATTCCTCCTACTGTAATGAACTCTTTGCAGCGAGGATATATCTTTGCTGAGCTGAGATACACTGTTGATGATCTGGTGTCACTAGGTCATCATTTTTAATGCATATTTCCTGTATTCTGATCAGCAATCTAGCCAAGATCCCACACTGTGACACACAGCTTTCAGGCTGTGAAACTGTGGTGAGGCATCGTCCCCATGTCATAGTGTGGGACTTCACAGAGCATGGCTCCAGGACACTGTAGCTCACTAAGTCTGTCTGTCCATCTGAGAGAACAGAGAGTTTTAATTCTACCCCTTGCGGATGTATTTGCTAATCCTGCTGCAGAACTGAATGCATAACACGATATTTAGAATTTTCTCCCTAAGACTTAATTATTGCCTTTTCCCCTTTCTCTTCCACCCACCTTCTGATTTTTAATTTTTTAATTTTTAATTTTCTTTGGTCTGCATGCTTCCCCTTACCCATAGTCCTAGCTTGTAATATTGGTAGGCAACTCATTATACCTACTGACTGCAGGAATCCAACAAATGACTGAAGGTCTCCTCTTTGCATAGCTTAGTAATAGCAGTGGTAGTAGCAGCAATAACATGTAATTAATGTACTGGAAATCTAGAGAGGACAGAGAAATTAGTATGTGCATACAACCACTAGAGAAAGCAGAGTAACAGTGTGAGCCAAGAGGCATATGCAGGCTTTGCCACCATTCTTGAATAAGAGTACCTGTCGGATATTGGAGGGTAAGTGAAAGCTGTATTTAGAGCTTTCACATTACTTTCTCCTTCTTTTCCTTCATGTTCTATTGCTTTTAGTTTAGTGCCTTGCAAGTGTTGATAAATGAAGGTCATGAATTCACATGAGGCTGTGAATTATTCATTTATGGAGACCAACAGGGATCAGGACTAATTTCGCTGCTGGATCCAGACAGTAAGAGTTATTCAAACCAAACCAGACAAACAAACAAGCAAACAAACAGGGGATGGAGCTATGGGGAGTTTATACCATGCAGTGAGCTTGTGTCCCTTAATTTACATACCCTTGCTTTGTAACGTTGACTGAGATATTTTAAGCCATCCTGAGCATCTTTGACAGGCACATTTATAACAACTAGAAAGACACCTGCGGGAATCAGTGAGATCTTCTGAGTTTACTATCTAGCAAACTGGGCTGCTGCAAAGATAATCTGTCCCCTGCAGACTGATAATTAAAATGAGGATTTATAGAGGAATTGTTTCTGATTTCTCTTTACCTGTTTGTGCTCCTGCCTGGGAACAGAAAGATCAGTGAGTTGTGTACTCTGACAGGTCGGGGAACAGGCACCAGAAGGGAAACCTTCAAAGAACTGAGTGTAAATAAAAATTCCTGTCTACACCTTTGGGCACTGAATTATTTACATTAAACTCTCATTTAGAATTTCATGACCACTTTTCATAGCACCACATCTCAGAAATGTTAAAATACAAGACTATGCCAACATACCTGTAAAGTAACACAGCAAAAAGCAAGTGTTGGAGGCTCTTTATTTTCCACTATGAAAATATCAGTGGCTATTTAAAGATTCTGGAAATCTAATGAAAAGTTTGCTTCTGTTAGCAAATCCTTTGCAGTTTCTTCATGGAGATTACCAGTCAAATTTCTGCATGGTTGACAGAGCATTCCAGTGACTAATCATATTACTCACAGTGGCAGCATAGCACAGGGGGTCAGCTGGATCGGTGTAACCTGCTGCCAGGTTCAAAGGCTGCTGTGACCTATCACACATGTACACACCAAGCCAAGAGGAACTTATCTGCGGCCCCTTGCTGGGGTCTTACAATACAATGGGAGAGAATTTATCTACACAATTTCCACTCACAGAGATTGAAGGAATCATGAAATCTTGCTTCATTTAGACCAGTTCAGTGGCACTGCCTTCATCTCACCATATCCATGTTACAGTACTGATATAACACTGTATCAGTTAACAAAATGAGACCTTGTGTGAAGCTCTGTCAGGTATTAGAGAAGACAGAGTGAGGTGTGTTTGTCTCCATCCCACCTGATCATCCTCCTGATCTGCTGATGCTGCTATCAGCGGAGGTGCAACTTAAGAGAACTGCAGGTCTTCTGCCCAGGCTAGTTTGAGGTAAATTATCAAAAACATTTCAAAGACATTTTGGAGTCTAGCTTCCAGAAAACACCCCCTACCCCCCTTTCTCCTCCAAAATAAAAACAATCCAAACCCAAGTACCTGAAGTACAGGCCTTATGCTGTAAAAAAACATTCATCGGGAGCATATGTCAGAAAGGACAATAAAAGCAACTGTGTATTATAGGCCTTAGTCTGCATTTACTGAATGAAATGGCAAATATTTTCTTTGAAGTCAAAGGGAAGACAGTCCGGTTCTCACTGCTTTTGAAGATACCACCTGAAGATACCACCTTGTGGCATTTTAAAAAAATTAAGCCAAATTGCTGTCAAGCAGGCAAAATAATTGTGTCGTACCCCACCTGTATAATTTAATGTGTGCAGGCTTAAATTTACTTTTACACATACTCAAATATGTGAAGCTTTTCACAGTAGTATAGTGGTACCTTTGAACTTCCCAGCTTCTCAGTAGTCTTCCCTTTAAATATAGAAAATGCTTTTAGATTTTTCTCTTTTACATGACAAGCCTGAATATAGTTCCTTGCTTCAAATCTTACTTTAATTTTAATTAAAAATAACTGTAAACACGTTTACCTTTTTAAAAAGAGGTGTCGCAAAACTTCCTTGCTGCCATTCGTCCCAGTGTGCATTACTGACCATGTGAGGCAACGTGATGTGCCTGCCATGTCTTTTTTCTGTACACAGCGCTCACTGCTTTGTTTACTCTGAGACTTGCCCTTTTATTTCAGGGCTCTCCGATTGCATCTTGCTCCATAATGGTTTGGAACTAGAGCAAAAAAATAATCCAAATGATGAAATTACTGTTAACAGTAACCCACACTCTTGTATTTTAAAGGGTGTCCATTTTCTAAAGAGTGATCTTAAAAAAGCTAGCTGTCCCTTTGGTCAGAAGTTATAGCTGAGGATTTTTATTGGCCTCAAACTTTTTGACTTGAAGAGATCTGTACTGAACCTGTGCTGTCTGGTCTTTGAAGTACAACCGCAGAGCAGAACCTCATATAGAAGTCGGCCAAAGATGTCTGGAGCAGGTGAAATTAAGTTGAACAAATGAAGTTTTTAAGACTTAAAAATAAACCTTAGATGTCATATCTTTAGAAATTCTGAACCCAGATGAATCAGATAAAACTCTGGCATGGAAATAATGTGGCTATGTTCATTCATCTTTGAGGAAGTCAAGTATAGCTGACATCAACTTTGGAAGCAATTCATTTAATCCCGCAATTAAAAAATGTTCAGGTCGTGTATCTCAGAGATTGAAAGTTTGTGATTTCCTGAAGCTTAGCTTTAGAAATCTTCACCTTTGTAATGGAAACATCTCTGAAAGCTTTTCAAAATGGCACTCATGTGAAACCTAAAATTTACCATTTCATATAGAATTTGTTCTTGGGCAGGCTATTTCCCCAGGCTCTTCCAGTTCTGGGGCACATCAATTTTCCCAATGGATCTCAATCATAACAGCTTTGACACTTTCCTGTTTTCAGCTGCAACTCAACACAAAACTGCAAACTAACTGCTATCCTGACCCATACTGCATTACAAGGAAGGACAAGTTTCAGTTCATTAAAGATTCTGCCATTCCAGGTGAATTACCCTAAAATACAATAGCTTTACAGGCACACAACTGGTTGCTTGTGCAGCTTTACAAGAGAGGACACAGCAAGTAAAACTTGAGAATAACACATGTCAAAGCTACTTTCTTCCTGCTGCCTTCCACGAAGAAGCTTCTCTCTTTTTTGGATAAGTAGTCACTCGCCCTGGATCAGCTTCTTTCACTGCCAGCCCATGCAATGCTCTAAACAGGGACTCCCAGGTCCCGCAGCACACTTGCCACCACTCCCCAGCTCTGGGTTAGCTCCATGCACAGCTGAGAGAGAGTCAGAAGACTCAGCTTCTCCATTTTGGAGAATAGAGGTTTCAGAAAACACAGTTTCAATTTCACAGGCCAGCTCTGATGGCATCTTCTGAGTTTGCGTCTACAGCAAATGTATGAGAGCACTATAATAATGAGAAAAGTTATTCCTTCAATGAAAGTACTGAAGTACCTAATTAACAAGTTAGCCAGTTACACTGGGATTTACATTTACAGCATGTCTCTGTTCTCTGGTATAAACAGGTTGACTGTGCTCTCTCTCACAATGTGAAGTGTGCGATATGAGGCCAAATTTCCCTGAGCAGAGCTCCCAGCCACCTGTGCATCCAGCAGCATGCCACTGCTGTGTCTCGGCTTGCTCTGCCTGCCTAAAGCCACAAGGAGCTGACACACTGAGTATCCCTGAGCCCAAGGCCCCGCCAGCATCGTGCTCAGCACAGGCTTAGCAGACACTGCCATCTGCATTCAGAAACATGTCAGAGGAGCCTGGAAGGAAACCTGGTAGGTGTAGCTTTGTGTCAGACCGTTTGCTCAGGAATCACGAGATCCAGGTTTAGGGTCCTGAGCAGAAGGGCCAGACCAGAGCCAACACCCTAAGCATGCTATCTTTCAACTTTCCCAGATTTAGGGGACTTAGAAAAGTTCATCTCATCCTCATAACCTCTGAAGTGAGCTCCCAAACTGGAGAGTTGAAAACCAGAACAAAACCTTGTAGCTTATGCACACCTTTTCTGTAACTGCTGAAGACAAAAGCCAAACTTTCCAAATTTAGTAGAATGCAAGAAATAGCATAAGTTGCTTTTGCCTTCTGTATCTGGAATTCTTCACTCTGTCTTTGTCTCAGTCCTGGGTCTACTCTCCTCTGCTTCCCTCCTTCTCACTCTATTTTATTTTTCTTTTTACTCCCCCAGGTATAATTTCCGAGGCTTCCGCTGGCTCCAGGCTATGATCTTTGCCATAGAAGAAATAAACAGTAGCCCAACTCTCCTTCCCAACATGACCCTGGGATACAGGATATTTGACACTTGCAATACAGTCTCTAAAGCCCTGGAGGCCACACTGAGTTTTGTGGCCCAGAACAAGATAGACTCCTTGAACCTGGACGAATTCTGCAACTGCTCAGAACATATCCCTTCCACCATTGCAGTCGTGGGGGCAACCGGCTCTGGCATCTCTACCGCTGTGGCCAATCTGCTGGGACTCTTTTACATACCTCAGGTACGCTTTCACCTCTCTTGTTTAGGTTACAGAAGTGGCCTGCCTCTCTGCTCTGCAGAGATTAAACAAAGATTGTTTAATCTTTGCCATTTCCAATAGAACCTCAAGGAGAGAAACTACAAAATGTAGGAGTTTTCTTAAGGTAGAAATATGTCTTGCTAGCAATTTCCAGCCCCCGAACATAAAGGTTACCAAGCAGCCAATAACAACATTCAGCCAACAGCAACTTAGCCTAGGAGGACTAGAGTCCTCTAGAGTGATTTAGTCTGTGAAAACAGGTATTTTAGGTCAGCCATTGGCAGTTGCCAGCCTTGACGGGTTAATTGTGGTGTTACTTCACCATGGTCACTGTCTAGTCATGCCCAGCTCCCACAGAGCCCACTTAAGGCCGAGCTCAGTCATTGCCAGCTACTCCTAGGTCTCTCAGCATCTCTGATCATTCGAGTAGGTGACCTGTAAAGTTGTTGCTTGTGCTGATCAGGTCCTGTGAAGGTTTCTTCTGGGCTGACCTGCCTTTCTTTTACCCTAGGGCCTCCAAAACAGGGTTTGTGAAAGCATGAGGATATGTCCCTCCTTGTCCTGGGGTCATCTGTGTGGCAGTGTAATTGTGCCAGCTCCTGTGTTGCAGTATCCTTCTTGCTGTCTGCTGACTCTACTGAGGCCAGTGCCGGCATCCGTGGTCCCATCCTGTTGTTTAACAAGCTTGTGGCTCTGCCAAGACGCTAAGCAAAGTATGAGGCTGGCATATTATAGCTTAACATTATTGCTCTTGATTTTAGATTTCCACACTGAAGACAACTTTGGAAAAAGTGCTTGGCCTTATCCATTTATGTGTTGCCTTGTATAGCCTAACATTTTCAATTCCTCTTCTAAAATGAATACAAGTGCCAGAGCTCACAAGAGTCCTTGTAACAAGATTGTGTCACGCTGCACTCTCAGTCTGCCCTGAAAGGATATATCTTTACTTCAGCCAGGGCTTCACTTCCCATCTGCACCACGAATGAAGAAGGATGGATTCTTGATTGCCTGGTGCACAGTAATATATCTTGTCTATTTAATGTTATCAGTCTGACTCCCTCGCAGGAGTCTGAAAAAATGGACATTTGGTCTCTGAGCAGGGCAAGAATGGTTTAAACTAAGACAAATATCTGCTATCTAGGTATTGCCCAGAGTGGCATTGGAAGGTGGCGTGTAATAAACATCGTGATGGCATTTTAAGGGGTATTGTTGATTTACACATCACATTACAAGGTGAACAAGGGCAGCCGAGAAGGATTGGTGCATTGGACTGAACATAAGAGATGTTTGCAGTTCTCAGACTTTCTCTTTGAACAGGGAATGGTGTTTGTGCTACGAGGCAGTAGTCTTATCTAGAGGTTGCAGAAATGGGTAGATGTCAGGGGGTTCAGTTCTGGAACAAAATCTCAGCCAGGTGGTTGAAGTCTGACAACTGAAAGCAGGCTTTTAAACTGGGAGTTGTTGGGCAGCATTAGAATACACATTATCACTGCCATTTATAGCAAGGCCATTAGCAAATCCATGCTTATTAGACCCTGCCTTTCAGTACAAGTTGGAGATATATTTTACAATTAATGTAAGGCTCATTACTCATTCTGTTGACATAGAAACAGAAAATGTTGTGACTTCTATTCTGTTTCTCAGTATCTCACCTCAGCATACCCTTACAGCGCATGTGGGAGTGGGGTGCCTTGCAGGAGTGGGGTACCTTGCCTGTACCTCCTGGCAATAGGTGGTAGGAGATGGGAGTAGCACTGGGCAGGAGCCTGTCCAGGGGAGAGTATGGCTCTGTGAAAGGAGGCTTTGCTCCTGTGGCCCTTGAAACTGCACTAGGAGACCTCCTTTTCTTTCTTCTTGCAGAAACATTAAATGCCAGAGTTTAAGGAGGAGATAAGGTTTTCTGTAAATTTCTACTTTGTACAAAATGAACTGTTTATAGAAGACTTTTTCAAATGAGAGTCGGTCCTGAAGAGCTCAGATACCAATCTCAAAATGCAAAGATAAGTGAGTTTTAAAAGTTCTCCAGATCTTTAAACTATTCTTTTCTGGGTTTTCTGGTTTTCTTCCTACTTGTAGAAAATCCAAATTATATCTTAAGAGTATATGGCACTTTTTCTGATTAAAAAAAAATCTTTCTTGGTAGCTTTAGAAAAGGAAATAAAATTCCATTTTAACTGTAAAACGCCGTGGCTTGTGAAGCATGGAATGCCTACTGGCTTCTCTGCCGATTCTGGCCTGCAGTCAGGAAATGCTGCTAAGGTAGTATTGACCAGCATTACCCTAACACTCCACAGGGTGAAGGCAACCGATATACACCACATTCTTCTTCCTTCAACTGGCAGGGATTGTATATGACATGCATATGGTACCTGATGGAGCCTGTTTAACAATGGGGACAGAGGTGAGAGGCAAGAAGAGACAGACAGAGTAAGTTCAGTATGGTACTAGTAGCCTGCTGTCTCATGTCTGGTTCAGGACAGAAGCAGCCTGCATTTAGTCTGAATTATGTGCATTGCCCTCATTTATCTAAAAGATACATCCACCTTGTTTCTGGATTTGGCAGGAAGTGCAGCGAGGTGTGTGTAGGCCACCCGTGGCTCACCTCTTTGCCATTCTTCCAAGCTACTGTCAGTGTCTCTCTCCCTCAGATCCTTGACCTTACAGGTGGACACAAGGACTCCAGCCTCTCAGGTCTAAGCAGCTGCTCCTGTATGTGTGCCTCTGTAAGACAGTCACAGCTACAAGAACATGCAGACTCTCAGAGTGGATTATGTGCAACCACAGGCTAAGAGTACGTGGCTGCCAGTGTGGTGCTCAGCCCTCTCTTCATCCCATCTGAGATTACACAGGTTCACAGTGATGCTAGATAAATGCAGGCAATTTATTCCCAGGCAGTTCACTTTATGGTGTGTTTTGCTTGTTTACTGTGCTCTCCCAGGTCAGCTATGCCTCATCCAGTCGTCTCTTGAGCAATAAGAACCAGTTCAAGTCTTTCCTCCGCACAATCCCCAATGATGAGCATCAGGCCACAGCCATGGCAGACATCATCGAGTACTTTCGCTGGAACTGGGTGGGAACAATTGCAGCCGACGATGACTATGGCCGGCCAGGGATTGAAAAGTTTCGGGAGGAGGCAGAGGAGAGAGACATCTGCATAGATTTTAGCGAGCTCATCTCCCAGTACTCAGATGAAGAGGAGATCCAGCAGGTGGTGGAGGTCATCCAGAACTCCACAGCAAGGGTGATTGTTGTTTTCTCCAGTGGCCCAGACCTGGAGCCTCTCATCAAAGAGATCGTCAGGCGAAACATCACCGGCAAGATCTGGCTGGCGAGCGAGGCCTGGGCCAGCTCTTCCCTGATAGCCATGCCAGAGTTCTTCCGTGTCATCGGCAGCACCATCGGCTTTGCACTGAAGGCAGGACAGATCCCAGGCTTTCGTGAGTTCCTGCAGAAGGTGCATCCCAAGAAGTCCACTAACAATGGCTTTGCCAAGGAATTCTGGGAGGAGACGTTTAACTGCTACCTCCCTGATGGGTCCAAGAATTCCCCAGCTTCAACTTCCTTCCACAAGGGCCATGAAGAGGGACTGGGAGCTGGAAATGGAACGGCTGCCTTCCGACCTCCATGCACAGGGGATGAGAACATCACCAGTGTGGAGACACCATACATGGACTACACACACTTGCGGATATCCTATAATGTGTATTTGGCAGTATATTCTATTGCCCATGCCTTGCAGGATATATATACCTGTACCCCTGGGAAAGGACTCTTCACTAACGGATCCTGTGCGGACATTAAGAAGGTTGAGGCATGGCAGGTAAGTCCTTCATTTGTGTGCCTGTGCAGTATACTTGCAGAAAAAAGACAAGCTGTCCTGGATGCCTTTTAGGGTGCCTTTCATAATCCTGCGTCTCAGACATAGCATAAGGCTCACGGGACGTAGCATGCCGCGGTGTGTGAGTTAGGGGCCTGCTCCCACCCCACAGGGAATGTAAGGTAAGTTGTGTTAGGTTTGCCTGTGGTGAAAGGCGCTTAAACTAAGTTAAATTTTCTTGCATTTGCTACGGGCCAAAAGTGCACACACAGACAATTACCGCAGCCTGGCTGACGCAAGGTAACTTGATCATATATTGAGCCTTACATAAACAAGAGGGCCTGGAGAGAGGACATAAACAAGGAAAACAGTTTTTAGGGTTCATTTTCTTTGGCAAGCTCTATGTCTTTTGCAACCCCATAGCAATTTTCCATACAGGCTGTATTTTTTCCCCACAGTTTTAAGCTTATATACGATCAAACTAAAGCAGGTTGAGTAATGAAGGAAAATAACAGGTGGCTGTTGGGCAAATAATAGATAGCTGCTTTGATTTGGCAGCGGTATTTGTTGACTGATAAAATGATACTAACGACTTAGTCACATTTCCCCACTTATTCAATGTGTTCTGCCCACCATCACATAGATCGTATTCTGGCATTTTGTCTTCTGATTATTTATGAATAGTCTATACCTTACCATATGTTTGATTGTGCTATCCAATGTGATATTCAGTATGTTTTTAATATTTACTGCATTCTTAAATAACAGAATTAGCTTGTAAGGCTATCAAATGAAGATATGCTGAACATGTAGCAAATTCTGTTTGCCTTGTTCTGATCATCACAGAAAACCTAGGCCCAAACGTAACTGAAATTAGAACACAAGTGAATATAAGGAGGATCACATCCCTATTTGCATCTGTAATTTCCTGTATTTGGGATAGTCTGACCAAAATAAAGGCTATTTGTGCCACAAACTTTGCAGATGTTGGGTCAGTATTCATATGTGGGAACTGCAGTTCCTGTCTAGTCTCAGCCAACTCAAAACCACCAGTCAGATCAAAGTAAAAGGCTTTGTCTTGGCATTTATGGGAAACATGCATTGCTCTAGGTACCTGATTTGGATTTACTGAAAGCACTTTACTCCGAGTTCATCAGTGCAGGGTTTGACCCTGATTTAAGGGTATCAGTCCTGAGACTGCTGACTCTCTCTGAGGTTTCTGTCTTTCAAAGATGTTCTGCTTTTCAGGAGCATACTGGCAGAAGTGGGCAAGTCACAGACAGATTTAGCTTTCACTGTGTCGGTAAAAATGATCCAGAATAAATATATTTTTAATTTGTTCCCTTATGCCTCGTCAACTTGGAAAGTAAAGCAAGATTCATACCATAGCTAAGTAAAATAATGTGGTGTTTGTTGAGGATTCCACAATCGGGAAGAATGTCCTCTCATTTCTGTGTTGCTTGTGTAGTGCTGAAGGATGCCTGTATCAAAATGTAAAGCATCCTGCTGACCTAGGCTTTTGGGTATGCATACTTGCCTTAAAGGAGGGAATCGGCATCAAGAAAGATTATGTGGGGGATAACACAACATGGCAGGAACAGTGGGTGCTACAAAGGAACAAGCTATATTTGAAATGACCACCATTACGTGGTGTTGGCTGTCAAGCATACTTGATATTTGTGCATTTTTTCACTTCATTGCAAAATCAAACACACGAATGGCAAGCAAATGCCAAATTTGTGTGCACACCTACTTCATATCAGGCATTGTGGCTCATTACCCTTGGGAAGCTTTCCTCAGCCCTGGGGGTAATGAGTTCACCTCACAAACGTGCATCCTCCAGCATCTCCAGAGGGTGGTTTTCTGACAACCAGACAGAAGAAAATCTTTCTACTAAAGTCTACCTCATTTGCAGCGGTACTTCTGCTGGTGGTCAACACCTGCTCGCTCTTCTCACAATCAGCTCCAGCATTTCTTGATAGGAGGTGACTGGAGAGAGCGAGGATGGGGTTAGGAAGCCTCCACACCTGAG